GTCTCTCTGGGTAGCTGGCTGTGACCAAGCAGTGACCACAGCCTTGCCCCTTGTCACCTCTACTATACACCTGAGAATTCTGATCATTCACATAAACTTATAGGACCATTGTCTACCAACCCTATATATGTTCTTGGATATACTCCCCCATTTCATAGACACATCTAATCATACAGCCTGTCCATCGATGTATCCACCCATTTACCCATGTTTGCCTTCATTGACAATGCAGTCCCAGTGGGTTTTTGAGGTGGTTAATCTTTATAGAAGTAGATTGTCCAGTCTTCCTTCCATGGGGTGGCTGGTGGGTTTGAACTGCCAGTCTTGTGGTTAGCAGTCAAATGCCTTAGGCAATATACCACCAGAGCTCCAAATTTTTGGTAGGTTATTAAAAAAAAAAAAAAGATATATGTGTGTGTGTGCATGCGTGCATGCATGTATATTTACATGCACACATTTGTGAGGTAAAGTGGGTGGTAGACATCCGTGGTGTCTTGGAACATAGTATCATAGAAGATACCGCTATACATTTTTCTTGTGTGTGGCCTTTGATACTGTTACCATGCAGATATTGAACCTTTAACATTCATTATTATATTAATTAGCATAAAACATTCAAGTTGTAATTTTAAAGATTCTGCTGCATGTATACCATTCCACACTTATCAACACAATTGGGGTCCAAAGACCAGGTTGTTAAACAAAAATGGAGGGTGACCACATCAGATCACCAAATGGAAGATGACTACATCATTACATAACTGCCATATTACATCATTAGGTAATTGCCAAACCATAGAGAATCATAGTTCAGCCAAGCTGACATATAAGCTTAACCATCTCAGCCAGCATTACTCATGCCTCATGCCTTGGCATTGTTAATGCACAGGAGAGTAGTTTTTTACTATTGGAAATGCAAAACATCCGATAACAAAGTAGTCGCTCAGTGAGGAGCAGGGGTATATAAGTTTTATTCAAACAAAATGTGTCAAAAGTAGTTCAGAAAAAGTTGATTATAGTAGAAAAGTAAACCTCATTAGTGATTTATGCTGGCAATAATTTGAGAAACCAAAGAAGTTTGTCTATATTTGACCGGTCTAGAAGTGAGAGCTCTCCATTTTTTATTGTTCTTGGGGGTGGTTCAATAGAAATTATTGGACTTGGGTGGACATTCAAAAAAAGATTTTTTTTTTTTTTTTTGACTTACGGATGTACTCCAGTACCACTTTTCTTTAAATTCTTTTGTCTTTAGGCACTTTATTGATTGAACTATGTACCCCTAAAATGTATGTTGTAAAACCTAACCTCTGTGCCTGTGGTTATAATCTCATCTGGGAATGACTGTCTTTGTTATTTTAATGAGATGGGATTAGTGTAGGGTGTATCTTGAGTCAATCTGTTTTGAGTTATAGAAGAGATTAATGCAAGGTTTACAACCAGTTCATTCCAGTTTGACCCCCTGATGAAAATTTGCATTTCTATCCAGGATATACTGAGTCAGAATATACATTTTAATAATGCAGATTATTATGTAGATTATTGCATCCAGAGCCCCAGATGATCCTTATAGATCTTATTAAAATGTAGATTCTGACTCAGTATATCTGGGATGGAAATGTAAATTGTCTACAGGGGTTCTAGCCACAATTAACTGATTGGAAGCCCTAATGCTTCCAACTCATAGCAACCCCTCCTTGGGTTTCCAAGGCAGTAATGGGGTAAAATAGATGGCAGGGTGTATGAAGATTTCCAAGGAGCAGAAGCTCAAAAGAGACAAGGACCTTTCTCCAGATACAATACAGATAGACAACTTTCCCCCTATAGCTGGTCCCCAGAATTTGGCCTTCTAGTCTCCTACACTGAGAAAAGAGTTTCTATTTGTTGAAACCACTCATTTGTGGTATTTCTGTTACAGTAGCACTAGAGGCAGACATTTTATCTGTTTCTCAACCTATTTAGAGGCAGAAGGGGATGACAATGAAGTGTTTAATAGTCTTTTATTAAATACAAAATAAAAATCAAGGCATGCTGCTCCTTTTAATACTGCTTTTTAACTAAAGCCTTTGACCACTTTTTATGAATTTCTGTTTAAGAACTGTTGGAAATTGAACCTTGGAATTTAAAAAGTTATGTAAGACTATAAAATGGAGACTATTTGAAGCAGTACATGATTATTTTAATAATCCTGTTTCTGATGTATAAGTGATGTTAGGATAACAGGATATTTCAAATTAAGTTTTCTGATGTTTTCAGGTCCTGAATTCTCCCTGGTTAAAATAAATCTTCTGTCTAAATTCAGTGTATTTAATCTGATACAGTAAATTTAATATGGTTTGACAGTTAGGAATATGGCAATTTAATTCTGGGCTTGTTATTTTCAATTTAGTGCCTAAGGCATTTGACTGTTAACCAGAGGGCTGGCAGTTCAAACCCAACAGCCACTCCTCGGAAGGAAGGTTGGGCAATCTACTTCCATAATGATATTGCCTTGGAAACCCAAGGAGGGGTCGCTATGAATTGAGTCTGATTTGATGGCATATAACAACAGGCCATTCTAACAGCAACAAAAAACTGCTGTCGAGTCGATCCATACTCATAGCAACTCCTTGGATTTCCGAGGTGGTATCACTATGGAAGTAGATCGCCCAACCTTCCTTCCGAGAAATGGGTGGTGGATTTGAACCTCCAGCCTTCTGCTTAGCAATCACATGCCTTAGGCATTATGCCACCAGAGCTCCCGCAGGTCATTCTGGAGCCCCTAGTATTTCTAGGATCAAATAGACTTTCTTGAAAAATAGAACTTTTCTTGGACTTCCTTGAAAGCATATACTTAGCCTGGGAAGAATCTAAGTGACTGTTTTTAGTTTGGAACAATCTAAGAGTGCATAGGGAGTTCTGGTAGCATAGTGCCTAAGGCACTTGACTGCTAACCAGAAGGCTGGCGGTTCAAACCCACCAGCCACTCCTCAGAAGGAAGACTGGGCAATCTACTTCCGTAGTGATACTGCCTCGGAAACCCAAGGAGGGGTCGTTATGAGTTGGGTCCGACTCCATGACACGTAACAACAACAACAAGAGTGCAGAGCTGAATTTCGTTGTGTCAGTAGAGCTCATTGTGGCCTATGACCTCTTTACAGTAAATCTACACAGTGGTTCTCAAACTTTAGTATGTATCAGAATCACTTTAAGGGCTTGCTCAAGTACAGGTTGTTGGGCCAGACCCCCAGAGTTTCTAATGTTGTAGGTCTGGTGTGAGGGCCAAGAATTTGCATTTCTAATGAGTCTTTTTGGGAGTTCTGGTGGCATAGTGCCTAAGGCATTTGACTGCTAACCAGAAGGCTGGAGATTCAAACCCACCAGGTTCTCCTTGGAAGGAAGATTGGGCAATCTATTACCATAG